AAGTCAAAAGACCAAAAAACCATCTTCAACGGCTCTAAAAAGAGCCGTTGGGACTCCAGCGGTCGACCGATGAAAATCGCGGTCGACCAGAAACAAGGTCAGAGTCGCAGGAGACGTCCAGAGAGTCATGTATAAAAACATATTAGAGAAAGAATTTCTGAAAAAGAATTTTCCAGTTGAGAGAAATAAATGTTTTAACACAGAAATACAGTTTCTGAAAATCTGCTGTGATACACGAGTTTTATAAAATCAATTAAAAATAGTAAAACAGCTTCAAAAAATATGAAATTTTGTGAAAAGGTTCTAGACATGTGGAATAACATGTTAGAGAAAATATTTCTAAAAAATCATTTCCCAGTTGAGAGAAATAAATGTTTGAACACAAAAATACAGTTTCTGAAAATCTGCTGTGATACACGATTTTGTAAAATCAATTAGGCACAGTACATCAACTCCAAAAATAGTAAAATTTTGTGAGAAGTTTCTAAATATGTAGATAAACATGTCAGAGAAATAATTTTTCAAATATCACTTCTCATTTGTGAAAACTCATCAGTTTTGTAAAACATGCACGAACATGTGCACGAACGAAAACGTGAATTTGTAAATTCCTTTAAACATAACAAATCAATTCCAAACTTGATGAAACTTTGAGAAATGTTTGCAAATGATATTTTGAACATGTTACAAAAAGATTTTTTCAATTTTCATTTCCCAATTGTGAAATCTCATTATTTTGCAAAAGTGTTCAAAACATGAAAACCCAAAACCATGCATGTATATATATAACTATATATATACATAGAAACCAAATACGTGTGTGTATATGATATTGAGCTTAAGGTACTTCACACACATAATATAAAATCTAAACTAGATTACCCAAGCTTGATCTTGATCTTCATTGTAGCTCAACTTGGTACACATGCGGATGAAGCTTGAACTTGATCTTTAACTTGAATTGTATGTTGCTTCACTCCACAATTCCGCCAACCTCCATTTGATATGATCGTTAAGGCTCGATTCCATCCATCCTCCAACAACGTTGTTTGTCTACAATACATAGGAATGCACAAACACTAGACAAACAACATTAGTAGTAAATTGTTTGTAAATCATCATCAAAACAAGAAGGCCAACATTCTCATCTATTGTAGAGAACAAATTTATATTTGTTACATTGTGAGTGTGTTGTGAAGTTTTCGGTGAACTAGAAAACCGAGTGTGAGGAGTGACGTTGATCGGTAAGCGTTGAAAACCGACACTGTGAGGTGTAAACGTTATTCGGGTGAGCGTAGAAAACCCGGTTGTGATAGTGGATTTCTCCCCGGGAGTGGGGAGCGGAGACGTAGGACGGAAGGTCCGAACTCCGTGATCATATCCTGTGTTTGAGTGTGCTTTGACGTTTATTTATACTTGTGTTTATATTTCTTGTCGCCTTTGTCATTAGCTCATTATTTATATGATCCACTATCTAGTTCATATTGTTTACCCCTTGTGTTAGTTTTATATCCTTGCATATACATATATCATATTGTATATCTCTTTGATAGGATATATCATCTTGTGTTAGTTTATATATCCTTGCATATATATATTCATCATATAGGATATATCTCATTGTTCATATTGCTTATCCTAGCTTATACAGTTGTTATATTTCATACTTGCTAGGATAACTTGTTAATTAATTTTAATTGATATTTAATCGGATTAGATTAGCACAAGACCCTAATCACCCCCCCCTCTAGGGTCTAACAATGACTTCGATCAACATTTATAGGAGATATAACAGTTGATGCCACGGATGAGATGATTCAGTATTACGCTCATGCTTATATGTTACACATGACAGAATGTATGTTATTTCCTGATGCGAGCAAGAATCTTGTACATGCATGATGGCTGGCACTACTCGAGGATTTTGATGTATGCGGTACTCTATCATGGGGTAGTGCGGTCTTGGCATACCTTTATAGAGAACTAGGTAGGGTCTCTTTGATGCAGAATAAAGAATTCAAGGGATGCATGATATTAATGTAGGTTTGGTCATGGGAACGCATTCATATTGGACGACCTACTTTGCATGTGCACCGCGATTTACAGAGCCAGTTTCCTTTGAGATGCAGGTATAATTATGCATAAATTTTATTCATATTGAATTTGTTCTCATATATTCTTTATGCGAAATAGGTATAATGTGAGGTACTCTAAATACAAAACAGCGACTAGACATATAGAGTTTTATCGAAATGAGCTTGATGGCCTTCAACACCAATATGTAAATATAAAACTCAATTCATTGTGAATATTTTAATTTTCCTGTAGATACTGATAAAAGTTTTTTAAAATTTTCAGTTCAAGTGGACGCCCTATTCTCCGCCAGATCTCGATATGCATACTCTTGCACCTATCTGTTGCACCTATCTGTAGAGATAGAGATTCTTTGTGGAGAGCTAGAGTCCCGTTGATATGTTGGGAGATTGTAGAGATGCATGTCCCAGATCGTGTGTTACGGTAATTTCTTCTCTCTCAGCATGTGCCAGATCCTGTGGAGCAAATCGATCATAGGCGACGAATGACATCGCATCGTACGGACTAGGCCATATTCCGTGCAGCTTACATAGACAGGTGGAATAATATGTAGAATTTCATACAGAATGAGAGAATTCCAGTTGATGGTTATACCGCGCATATGCGTTAGTATTGGAATATGACACGCGGATGGATAGGACGAGACCCATAGCCAGCAGCTGGATACGTACCACGCCCACTGATAGATAGTTACATCTCTAGTGCCATGATCGAGAGAATTATATAAGTTTTTATACTAAATTAAAACGACAATTCTTTTTTTATTAAGATATTATTTGCTAAGTTGTGTATATATTGATTAAATCGCAGATCAATTCCTTTGATGAGATTGAGGCTGATATAAATGAGCATATCAATGACATTCAAGATCCGACAGTGTTAGGGATCTTCAATAGGATCAGACAGAGAATAGCAAACGTGTTCCATAAAAATCATGTCGACGAGTTTGAAGGACATGAGGATAGGTCAAGCCAATTTGGTCAAGTGTACAGGCGAAGACGTAGGACAAGTCAAAGGGCGGCGCGTGACGATGGAGCCGACACTTCTCATAGCACGACGCATGCTGATGGAGCCGACACTTCTCAACCTCATACACAACCAGATACTAAGATCATCGAGGCTCATCAGCATGAACAGAGGGGCGGGGTCGGGGGGAGTGAGAGGAAGGGGTAAGAGAGGGAGAGGAAGGATAGAGGACTTTTGGGATGTATGTGAAATTTAATAGTATGATTATGAATTTCAAGAACGATACGGTTTGATTGTTCAAATTTGTTACTTTTGTTGATCGATTGTTGTTTGTAGATGCAATTTTAGTGTGTATTGTTTGATTTACGGTTGAATTTTATGAATATTGTTGTAATTCAGTATTTATCCACAAATTTCATATTTATGGTTGGATTTTGATGTATATTGTTGTGAATGAGGCGAAAATTTTGTGTATATTGTTGTGAATGAGGCGGAAATTTTCATGTATATTGTTGTGTAATTTCAACTATGTATATGGGAAACATGCACCAATTCTATGCATGTTTGGGCAAACCTGCAACTCCACGGGATTTCAAATCCCATGGAGTTGCAGGCTAGCTCGACAGAGAGCGACGCTCTCTGGACTGAGGCCTGAAAACTTCACAGGATTTGAAATCCCGTGAAGTTTGCGCTTCACGGGATTTCAAATCCCGTGAAGATTTTGGTCGCTTAATCATATAGTTAACAAATAACTTAAACTTCACGGGATTTGAAATCCCGTAAAGTTTTTGAACATTTTTCACCAAATTCAACCTAGTTTCAGCCAACTGGCTGAAATTGGGTTGAATTTGACAAATATTTTCGAAATAGGTAGATTTTTACAAATATTTTTCTAAAAAGGTTTAAAATGGAAATTTGTCCGTGGAATGTTGGGTGGACGTGGAAGGGGAGAGGAAATGGGGTCGCATGTCATTAGCGGAGAGCTTCTCATTTTAGAATGTTGGGGTTATTTTTCTGTGGGGATCCAAATAATAGTTGTTTAATTAATTAAGACTTTTTTCCCTTTATGGAAATGTGGATTGATTACGATTTGGCTTCCTCATGTTGACAAACCAAATCTCAAAAGTTTAGACACATTGAGCTGACAATGCATAGATGAACAATAAAATACATGAAGAATACGACATTAGAACAAGATAACTATGATAGAAATACGTCTATACGAATCAAATAATCACAAAACCCTGCAACATTTGCATCCGTAAAAGATAAAACCACATGGTTAAGACTTGGTCACTACGTATAATGTGGTTAAGACTTGGTCACTACGTATAAAGCTGGCGGATTCACAAACTTATTGTCTTTTAATTTAATCATGATAAGATTTAAAGTATTCAGAATAATTTCCTCATGGTTTACATTCTCCAATCCAGGGTGAGGAGCGTATGACAACGAACACAGCCCAATAATTCATGGAAGTGACCATTCAACGCTGTAACATTTTGCTTCCATCATAAATTTGGCTCACTCGAAGCTCTAGAAAAGAAAAAGGTACTAGTTCCCCGATGTAGGGGGGGTTTTTTTTTTTTTTTTTTTTGAAGTGCTTTTATACTCTTAAAAGCATGAAACATGGAAATATGGGTAAAAGATCAAAAAGAACAAACACATCGTTGAACATTGGCAGTCTTTCTCAAAGACTAAGACTATGGGCAATTCTTCCACAATCACAGTCCATTGAGACGCTCGCCTCTATCTTTCGAGCTGATGTCTAAGCTTTATCATTTTCTTTTATGATTCCTCAACAACTGACTCGGATATCCTCTAGTAGCAATATTCTCCTCTCCAAAGATTGAATGCAGAACAAAATCGTGAGAAGCTACAAAACATCTGAATTGAACAACTTAATTTAAAAGAGCACAACATAAATTAGAGAACAAACGTGAAGCAACTTTCACCGTGTCTGTTGTATTATTCTTGTAACGTGGGTATAAGTACAATCCGACAACCAAAAAACACATACAACAGAGGTCTAGTCATTTCCCCCAAAAAACAGAGGCCTAGCCTGAAAGTTTTTTCTTTTTTTTTCTTTTTTAATTTAAGAAAAACCCACCTGAAAGAACACTGTACACAAGACCCATAAATCCCAATGCAAATAAACACAGATTTACATTTTCCCGGTGGAAGAAAACACCAGTGGCACAACCAAAAGGTGTGACTAAAGAAAAGGGAAAATTTATAGTGATGGCAAGTTCAATTTGAATAGAGAACTTGAGTAACAACTGTACATTCCTAATTACGAAAATATTTGCTGGATGACGGTCTCAGCATTCCCGTTGTTCTGCATGAGGAGATGGATGGCATCAGCTCTTGGCAATGCAAGGAATTCCTGAAAGAAATAGCATACTGAGATAAGTTCATCCCACATAGAGGAAACGTTAAACCAATGGAGAAACTAAAAATGCTAAAAAAAATAAGCAAACCATATAATAGTTATGATATTAATGAACAGTCAATATTCTTGAAGGAGGTTCGTGGAAATGGACTCAATAAACTAACAAGGAATAGTTTGATACGCAATCTGGTTACCATGGCTTTTCAATCTTAAAAACTTCAACTTTCGTGGACAGAATGACATCTCAACAAACCAAAATATAATTGACTAGGGTGGACACAATGATATCTCAGACCAAATATAATTTGCTCCAACTTAAGATTTGGGTGGACAGAATGATATCTCAGCAAACCAAATATAATTGCTCCAAATTAGGGACCAAGCAGATTGCATTATTAAGTGATGTCGGATAAAAAGAAATGTGTTTGGGAATTTGTTTTGCTTGACAGTTGGCTTTTTCGCATGCCTTG